GTAAAGCAGCTAGGATTGATGGGATAAAGATAGAAATGTTAAAAGCAAGTGGGGATATGGTTTTGGAGTGGTTTGTGCTATTATTTAATAAATGTATGGAAGAGGGTAAGGCACCTAGGGATTGGCAGAGAGCATGCATAGTTCCTTTGTTTAAAGGCAAAGGGGACAAAAGAGAGTGCAAAAATTATAGGGGGAGAAGTCTGTTGAGTTGTAGGTAGTAGGTTGGTCGACAACAACTGCCCAGGGAGGTACTACCGTCCTGCCAAGTGATTGTAAAATGAAAGCCTGTAATTGTTTTACACGATGGTAGGATTGCTGGTGTCTTTTTTCTGTCTCATAAACATGCAAGATTTCAGGTACATCTTGCTACTTCTACTTACACTTAGGTCACACTATACATACATGTACAAGCATATATATACACACCCCTCTGGGTTTTCTGCTATTTTCTTTCTAGTTCTTGTTCTTTTTTATTTCCTCTTATCTCCATGGGGAAGTGGAACAGAATTCTTCCTCCGTAAGCCATGCGTGTTGTAAGAGGTGGCTAAAATGCCGGGAGCAAGGGGCTAGTAACCCCTTCTCCTGTATAAATTACTAAATGTAAAAGGAGAAACTTTCATTTTTCCTTTTGGGACACCCTGCCTTGGTGGGATACGGCCGGTTTGTTGAAAGAAAAAAAAAAAAAAAAAAATTAAGTATACCTGGTAAAGTGCATGGTAGAGTTATTATTGAAAGAATTAAGAGTAAGACGGAGAATAGGATAGCAGATGAACAAGGAGGCTTTAGGAAAGATAGGGGGTGTGTGGACCAGGTGTTTACAGTGAAACATATAAGTGAGCAGTATTTAGATAAGGCTAAAGAAGTTTTTGTGGCATTTATGGATTTGGAAAAGGCATATGACAGGGTGGATAGGGGGGCAATGTGGCAGATGTTGCAGGTGTATGGTATAGGAGGTAGGTTACTGAAAGCAGTGACGAGTTTTTACGAGGATAGTGAGGCTCAAGGGCTAGTAACCCCTTTTACTGTATATATTACTAAATGTAAAAGGAGAGGCTTTCGTTTTTCCTTTTGTACCACCCCGCCTTGGTGGGATACGGCCGGTGTGTTGAAAGAAGAAGAAGTGAGGCTCAAGTTAGAGTATGAAGGAAAGGGGGAGATTATTTCCCAGTAAAAGTAGGCCTTAGACAAGGATGTGTGATGTCACCGTGGTTGTTTAATATATTTATAGATGGGGTTGTAAGAGAAGTAAATGCGAGGGTCTTGGCAAGAGGCATGGAGTTAAAAGATAAAAAATCACACATAAAGTGGGAGTTGTCACAGTTGCTCTTTGCTGATGACACTGTGCTCTTGGGAGATTCTGAAGAGAAGTTGCAGAGGTTGGTGGATGAATTTGGTAGGGTATGTAAAAGAAGAAAATTAAAAGTGAATATAGGAAAGAGTAAGGTTATGAGGATAACAAAAAGATTAGGTGATGAAAGATTGGATATCAGATTGGAGGGAGAGAGTATGGAGGAGGTGAATGTATTCAGATACAGTGGACCCCCGCATAGCGACTTTAATCCGTGCAAGAGGGCTCATTGTTATGTGAAATGATCGGTATGCGAATGAATTTTCCCCATAAGAAATAATGGAAATCAAATTAATCCGTGCAAGACACCCAAAAGTATGAAAAAAAATTTTTTACCACATGAAATATACATTTTCCTACACACACAGAGAAGGATACATGCACAATAGTAGAGTAGTACATGCACAATATATATTGTGCATGTACTACTCTACTAAATGAAGAATAAATGACACTTACCTTTATTGAAGATGCAGCAATGACTGATGAGACACTGTGTCCTGGGAGTGCCTTTTCCTCCTGAGTACTGTAGGTCCTGTTTGGCATTTTCTTCCAGAACAGGCCTTATCACACTGTGTATGCCACTACGATTCTTAAATCTCTCAAACCAACCTTTGCTGGCTTTAAATTCACCAATATGAGCACTAGTTCCAGGCATTTTCCCTGTTCACCTGGGTGTTAGTCGACTGGTGTGGGTTGCATCCTGGGAGACAAGATTAAGGACCCCAATGGAAATAAGTTAGGCAGTCTTCGATGACACTGAATTTTGGGTTATCCTGGGTGGCAAATCCTCTGGGGTTAATTGTTTCTTGGTATTCTCAATAAGCCACACCAACAACGGTGCTACAGCAGCAGCAGCAGCAGCTGACAGTGCTACAGCAGCAGCAGACGATGCTACAGCAGCAGCAGACAGTACTACAGCAGCAGCTGACGGTGGTACAGCAGCAGCAGCAGCTGACAGTGCAGCAGCAGCAGCAGCAGCAGCAGCAGACGGTGGTACAGCAGCAGCAGCAGCTGTACCACCAATAGTAGCGATGGTTGATTGGGGTTTATTATACAACCTGGCCAGCTCGGAGACACGCACTCCACTTTCATACTTATCAATGATCTTTTTCTTCATCTCTATAGTAATTCTCACCCTTATTATTGTAGGGTTGGCACTAGAAGCTTTCTTGGGGCCCATGGTCACTTATTTTGCAGATAAAATCACCAAAAACACTGTAATAATACGAAATGTTCCGATTGTATGCTTGGATGTTACCGCGGAGGCTGGCTGGTAAACAATGCCACCGGCGGCACATGTGAGGCTGGCTAAGGGCGCACATTGAACGCTTCTCGGACGAACAGCGGTGAGCGGGTTTTTGAGCGGTATGCGAGGCAAAATTTTTGCGATAAAAGTGAGCGGTATGCGGATTAAACGTTATGTGATGCCGACGGTATGCGGGGGTCCACTGTATTTGGGAGTGGACGTGTCAGCGGATGGATCTATGAAAGATGAGGTGAATCATAGAATTGATGAGGGGAAAAGGGTGAGTGGTGCACTTAGGAGTCTGTGGAGACAAAGAACTTTGTCCTTGGAGGCAAAGAGGGGAATGTATGAGAGTATAGTTTTACCAATGCTCTTATATGAGTGTGAAGCATGGGTGATGAATGTTGCAGCGAGGAGAAGGCTGGAGGCAGTGGAGATGTCATGTTTGAGGGCAATGTGTGGTGTGAATATAATGCAGAGAATTCGTAGTTTGGAAATTAGGAGGAGGTGCGGGATTGCCAAAACTGTTGTCCAGAGGGATGAGGAAGGGTTGTTGAGGTGGTTCGGACATGTAGAGAGAATGGAGCGAAACAGAATGACTTCAAGAGTGTATCAGTCTGTAGCGGAAGGAAGGCGGTGTAGGGGTCGGCCTAGGAAAGGTTGGAGGGAGGGGATAAAGGAGGTTTTGTGTGCGAGGGGCTTGGGCTTCCAGCGGGCATGCGTGAGCATGTTTAATAGGAGTGAATAGAGACAAATGGTTTTTAATACTTGACGTGCTGTTGGAGTGTGAGCAAAGTAACATTTATGAAGGGGTTCAGGGAAACCGGCAGGCCGGACTTGAGTCCTGGAGATGGGAAGTACAGTGCCTGCACTCTGAAGGAGGGGTGTTAATGTTGCAGTTTAAAAACTGTAGTGTAAAACACCCTTCTTTCAAGACAGTGATAGAGTGAATGATGGTGAAAGTTTTTCTTTTTTGGGCCACCCTGCCTTGGTGGGAATCGGCCAGTGTGTTAATAAATAATAAATATTATTATATTATTATTAGGATGTGCTTCCTAAAGACACCTGCTGCCCATGTTCACCTAGCAGTAAAATGGGTGCCTGACTGTTAGTCGACCAATGTGGGTCATATCCTGGGGACAAAATTGCCCAAAATGCTCTGCATAACAAGGGACTTTCTATATAGTAGTATGTCATTGATGTGAGCTAGGCCTGTATACCTTGTACATGTATTTGTAGAAATAAAGATTTTCTTCTTATTATTATTATTAAAGGTCAAAGTTAATTATTATAGTCATGGGGAAGTGTTAAATCCAGTTATGATACATCTGAGGAATGGAAGGCATTCAGGTTTAATCCAAGGCAAAGGTAGCTACAATTCCTTGGATCAAGAGCTCCTCAGCATCAAGGCACCCCATTGAAGAGACGAAGAAGTGGAGAAAGGACAGACCTTGTAATGTGTACTGCACTGATTGCAAAAGGTAAATGCATAAGGAATATGGTGAATTGCTGCCAGCAATAAGATACAATAATAGTGACATGGGTGGTGAATGTTTCAACAAGGAAAAGGCTGGAGGCAGTGGAGATGTCATGTCTGAGGGCAATGTGTGGTGTGAATATAATGCAGAGAATTCGTAGTTTGGAAATTAGGAAGAGGTGCGGGATTACCAAAACTGTTGTCCAGAGGGCTGAGGAAGGGTTGTTGAGGTGGTTCGGACATGTAGAGAGAATGGAGCGAAACAGAATGACTTCAAGAGTGTATCAGTCTGTAGTGGAAGGAAGGCGGGGTAGAGGTCGGCCTAGGAAAGGTTGGAGGGAGGGGGTAAAGGAGGTTTTGTGTGCGAGGGGCTTGGACTTCCCGCAGGCATGCGTGAGCGTGTTTGATAGGAGTGAATGGAGACAAATGGTTTTTAATACTTGACGTGCTGTTGGAGTGTGAGCAAAGTAACATTTATGAAGGGGTTCAGGGAAACCGGCAGGCCGGACTTGAGTCCTGGAGATGGGAAGTACAGTGCCTGCACTCTGAAGGAGGGGTGTTAATGTTGCAGTTTAAAAACTGTAGTGTAAAGCACCCTTCTGGCAAGACAGTGATGGAGTGAATGATGGTGAAAGTTTTTCTTTTTTGGGCCACCCTGCCTTGGTGGGAATCGGCCAGTGTGATAATATATAAAATATAATATAGTCTAGTAAGGTCATAGGTACATTTTTTTTAAATTACATGACATTCAATTCATGAACTTGAATTCTCAAAGCAGCAACTGTATATCTTTATAAGAGAGTCTAATTTAGAGTAAATAATGCATTAAAGATTAATTTTATGTTAAAACAAATACACAAGGAGACTTGCAACATATTTTAGCAAACAAAATCAGGTCTCTGGTAGATATGAGACGTGTTTCTCACCGAGTGCTGGTCAAGATGACGTAGTAATTGAGATGCAAGACGTTTGGACGCTCATCGGAGCGGTCCTCAGCATTGGTGTTGTGAGAGACCAGCAAGGTAACATCATACTCGTCTGATACTCGCTGGTCGTTGGCATCTTTGTAGTGCACACGGCAAGTTTTGGTGTGAACCAGAATGAACTCTGTATACTGCTGTAAAATACAAAGAAACAAATGAAGCTATTTTGTCTCTGCCAATATCTCATCGCATTACATTTTATTCTTTTTAAGAATATGCATTAATCATTATCACTTATTATAAAATAATTATTATAAAATTATGATATTAACCCTTTGAGGGTTTCGGCCATACTAGTACGGCTTACGACCCAGGGTTTTTAGCGTACTAGTACGCCTAAATTCTAGCGCCCTCAAATCTAGTGGGAGAAAGCTGGTAGGCCTACATATGAAAGAATAGGTCTATGTGGTCAGTGTGCACAGTATAAAAAAAATCCTGCAGCACAGTGCATAATGAGAAAAAAAAAATTTGACCGTTGTTTTGGAATAAAACAGCGACATTGCACTGTATTTTCGTATGGTATTTATTGTTGTATTCTAGTTTTCTTGGTCTCATTTTATAGAATGGAAGACATATTACAGAAATTGAGATGATTTTGACTGGTTTTACAATGAAAGATACCATGAAATTGAGCTCAAAGTAGCAGAAATGTTCGATTTTTACCAAATTTCAAAAGTAAACAAATCATGCCAAGCGTCCAATACACGTCAACTGGTGAGTCTAATATTCTTTCGCAAGTGCGCCAATATTATTTATACCATTTTTTACACTAATGCAGTAAACTGCATAACAGTAAATCTTCTATTTTTTGTGAGAATAAAAATTCAAAGTGGAAAGCAAAAGAATGTAAGAGGGGCCTTGAGACGTGACTAATGAACAGAGGAAATGTCATTTTAGTGCCAGGAATGTCTTTCTTGTTTATTCTGGACCCTATTCGGAAATTGGCATCTTTTGAAATTTGTGTGAAATTGGCAAAATTGCTGAATTCCTACCACTGTACCGGATAGTTGAAATTGATAAATGGGTGGTTTTTTGCACTCATTCGTTAGAAAAAATGGAGTTCTAGCGAAATATTCATGTTTTTTTTCGACTAGTACAGTGGAATTGGCCAAAAATGGGGCTCAAAGTGGGCAAAATCGCCAATGCGTAAACAAGCCGAGACTGCTAACTTCGCGAGAGCATGATTCCGTAAGTTTTCCATCAAATTTCCAACTTTTGGTGTCATTATGATCAGGAAAGATTCTCTATTTTTTCATAAAAGAAAAATATATTTTTTTTTTAAATTTGGCTGACCCTGAGAACGAGTCTCGGAGAGGGCCTGTCGACCCTCAAAGGGCTAAAAGGCAAAATGAACTGCTACAAAAAATTCTTTAATGTTAAAATTGTCTTAGTGAGTACAACATAATTTGATCATGCACTCTACTTTATTTATTTATTTCCTGAAAATTACTAAACTGACAAGGGGTCACACAGCTCCTTTGGGAATGACAGGCAATGAGATCTGATCTACAGAAAGGAAGGGTAGCTCTAAGTCTTTGAATCAAGAACCATTCACTGGCATCAAAGCACCTATTTTGAAGGGTACTGTACTTGAAACAGTATGCATTTATATAACCAGACTAACTCTATGGAGAAATTGAGAAAAATTCTTGTCATAAGAGATGACTAAAATGACATGCTTGTCATAAGAGATGACTAAAATGCCAGGAGCAAGGGGCTAGTAGCCCCTTCTCCTGTATAAATTACTAAATGTAAAAAGAACTTTCTGAAAGCATTTCTTCATTCTCAGGTCACCCTGCCTTGGAGGGAGATGTGTTCTAAAAGAAATATAACCAGACTAATCATCAAATCTTAATTCAGAAGGTTCTTAACTTACATATGCCTTAAGTTACAAAAAGGGCACTTAGGAAGCAATTCAAGTCGTACAGTGCAGTACGAGCCTATACAACTTGAATTGCTTCCTTCATATATACTACTGTTCTCAATACAAACAGCTTGTTTGTAAGCTTAAAAAGAAGTCATGCACTTTTTTTGCAAGTTGTAAATCTGTTGCAGTGTAATGGATAAATTCTCATTTAAATGTAAAGAGGACAAGTATGATAAAGATGGTGGTTCCTACCATGACAGCATCAGGATCGTGGATGACGGGAGTCATACGTAACACTCTCATGCGATACTGCTTCTCACGTGCCAGCAGGTAATTGTATAATTGTTCCCCTGGAGTTCCTGTGTCTTCTATTGTCAGTTTACCTGTAAGTACAATAAGATAGATAAAAAAAAACATTAAACATGAAAGATGTAAATAAATGGAATAAGTCAATTTGTCTGACTTTTTGGGTTATGCTGGGTAATTTACACAAAGTATGATAATTGTACTTATGTGTACTTGAGCCTAAATAAACTTACTAACCCTCAATTTAATGGACTATTGATTGTGGACAGAGATGAGATTGTTTTACAGTGATCATCATAATAACAGACAATTCAGTAACCAATGGACTTGATTTGCTGTTTTCCAAATCAGGTGAGACAGTGGATTTTGTCCCATATTTCTGAAGTCTGCTAAATCAGGGTCAATTATATCAAGGATTTACTGTAGTTTGCTTTGAAGAATGTTATATTATTCTTTATAAAAGGAAGTGCTAAACCTAGAGGAGTCACAGAGTGCCTAAGAATGGGCAGTAATCATGTTTGATGAAAGAAGAGAATAGCTTCAATTCCTTGGATCAAGAGCCCTTCAACAGCAACAAGGTATACCTACTTGCTTATTTTTATTTCATTGGTCACTGAAGAAATATTTTCTGTCTTGTCTGGTACTTTGATACCAGAAAGAGACAAAGTTCAGGAAACAAATTCTCACTTTTTTTTGAGGAGGGAAGACGGGATATGTGGATGTGACCTGGACCTGACTAGGTTGGGTTAGTGGCTTAAAGCTGGTAGGTAACTTGGACCTGCCTCACATGGGCCAGTAGGCCTGCTGCAGTGTTCCTTCTTTCTTATGTTCTCATTAAGAAATTTTTTTTTAACAGGTTGGTCCGTTCAAATTACAAATTTGGAGTTGAATTAATAAAATACAGTATTCATTAATTCTTGGCATCCCTCCAGGGAGGTTCCTAGATGCCTTTTTTTGGGTTGAACCTGATTGCCTTCCATCCCCCCATGCAGTGTGTCACCCCTATGCATTTAACACTTCCCTCTATGACTGTAAAAATAATCGGATTAAATTGTAACAAACACTCAGTGATGAGAAGTGGGAAGCCACTTAGAAAATGGAAAATCAAGTGCAAAAAAAAAAAAAAAAAAATGTATTTATGTCCAGGATGGTTTGACTTTACTATAGTGCAAGAGCAATTACTTTGGAAATGAAACTTTAGATAATTACCCAGCATGAAGGCGGCAAACCCTTAACATGTATTCATTTATCAATACAGTGGACCCCCGCATAACGATTACCTCCGAATGTGACCAATTATGTAAGTGTATTTATGTAAGTGCATTTGTATGTGTATGTCTGGGGGTCTGAAATGGACTAATCTACTTCACAATATTTCTTATGGGAACAAATTCGGTCAGTACTGGCACCTGAACATACTTCTGGAGTGAAAAAATATCGTTAACCGGGGGTCCACTGTATTGGCATTTTGTTAGTTACAGTAATTATTTGTTTATTTACTTATTCAGTGACAGTAGTTATTTAATTACTTATTTAACATATCACATTCACATTCAACTTACAATGAGTTCTTCGGAACATAACCCCATCGTCAGTCGAGGAGCACCTGTGTGTACGTATTTCAGATTTAGTCAGAGATACACCTCAGCAGGTTGCCAAAGAGTCTCTCTGAAGCTGAAATACATGTCTTTCTCTACCTGTTTCAATGTACTAACTAACCAGTTCCTCACTTCTCTTTTTAGTAATTTATTTGGATGCTGTTACCTGAGTGAATCAGATTTCTGGCAAAGTTTGGTCCTTTATTGTAGTACTTGATAAAGTCTGACAGACACGATGACAGATGATAGCCGGGAGTAAAGAGAAGTTGACGGTCAGCAACGTATGCACACAGAGCTCTCAGGTGGAAGTCAAATGTGAAGGAATGCATATGAAGCAGCACTTTTATGTCATCAACTTTATCCAGAAAGGAATTGATGGCAAACTGTAAAGAAAAATAAACAAGAATTTATTATTATGGTGACCTTCTGCTGTTACAGTGTTGTTGCTTTGCCATTCTGCTGTTAAACTGTTACTACTGTCCTCTTCTCTTGTTATAGTGTTGTTACTTTGCTGTTAAACTGTTAGTTATAAGCAAGTTTATTGTGCCAACTGGTTTAATAAAAAAAAAGGAGATACAGTTAACTCTCTTATAAAACTTCTCTGTAAATAGTGATATTTTTGGTGAAAATGCAATTAAAACAATTTATTCAAAACTGAAATAGAGGTCTTTCCAAGTGCTATTCAATGCTGGAGGAAATTCTTCAGTCACATTAACAAAAAACAAATGACACTATACAGGGAATCTTTATAAGAGAGGTTATTATAAAAAAAAATCTGGAACTCTCACAAATGTCCAAGCACATTAACTAACACCAAAAAAATTGTAGTAAATAAACCTAATAAAGCTCTCAATGAAAGAGCAAATAAAACTATATAACTTCTTAACTATTGGATCAAACCAAGTAAGCAAAATGGCAAACTCCCATGCTAAAGTCACAGATTACCTCACTGATAATTACCCAAGCTCTTTATACCTAACCACGACTAATTCAACTGAGGTAACTTCAATAATAAATTCACTAAAATAAACTGCAATAGAAATAAGGAGACAATCAAGTTTACTGAGCATGCAAAATATACTCATACCTTTATATACAAGAGGCCCTGTTTGTATGGCTCTTCGGTGCATCACCTTGCATAATAAACAAAAATCACCAACAGGTGGAAAAGAGCATTTTTTTCATTATCAAATGTACGTATCTAAATGTCTGATAACATGTTTACACTATCAAATATTAAGTACTCAATACAGCTAGGCATAAAAAAAACAGATAAGAAAGTAAAATAAATACAGTGGTCCCTCAATAATCGTCCGGCCTGAAAGTCGTCCATTTCGGAAATAGTCCTGTTATTTCGTCTAAACATTGGCTCGCAAATGGTCCGTTAACTCGCTAATAGTCCTTTGTCCGGGACGCGTACTCACGCTCTGAGCCGCCTGGGCCTTCCCTTTCCAGCCAGTGTGCCATTGTTTACCAGTGAGCGACTGTCCCCTCACTTGCTCCAACAAAATATTTCATAATATTCCATTGATTTTAGTGCTTTCAAGTGCTAAATAAGCTACCATGGCTCCAAAGAAAGCTCCTAGTGCCAAGCCTTTGGTAAAGAAGGTGAGAAATATGATTGAATTTAAGAAAAACATCATTGAACAATATGACAGTGGCATACGTGTGGGTGAACTGGCCAGGATGTATAACAAATCCCATACAACCATATCTTCCATCATAGCCAAGAAAAAGGAAATCAAGGATGCTGTTGTTGCAAAGGGGGTAAATCTTTCTTTCTTTCAACACACCGGCCGTATCCCACCGAGGCAGGGTGGCCCAAAAGGAAAAACGAAAGTTTCTCCTTTTACATTTAGTAATATATACAGGAGAAGGGGTTACTAGCCTCTTGCCCCTGGCATTTTAGTTGCCTCTTACAACACGCATGGCTTACGGAGGAAGAATTCTGTTCCACTTCCCCATGGAGATAAGAGGAAATAAACAAGAACAAGAACTAGAAAGAAAATGGCAGAAAACCCAGAAGGGTGTGTATATATATGCTTGTACATGTGTGTATAGTGTGACCTAAGTGTAAGTAGAAGTAGCAAGACGTACCTGTAATCTTGCATATTTATGAGACAGACAAAAGACACCAGCAATCCTACCATCATGTAAAACAATTACAGGCTTTCGTTTTACACTCACTTGGCAGGACGGTAGTACCTCCCTGGGTGGTTGCTGTCTACCAACCTACTACCTACAAAGGGGGTAAATATGCTGACAAAATTGAGATCACCAGTACTCGAAGATGTTGAGAAGTTATTATTGGTGTGGATAAACGAGAAACAATTAGCAGGAGATAGTCTTATGACGTCGCTTATTTGTGAAAAGGCTAGGCAGTTGCATGACGATTTGGTAAAGAAATTGCCTGCAACTAGTGGTGATGTGAGTGAATTTAAGGCCAGCAAAGGCTGGTTTGAGAGATTTAAGAAGCATACTGGCATACACAGTGTGGTAAGGCATGGTGAGGCTGCCAGTTCTGACAACAAAGCGGCTGAAAAATATGTGCAGGAATTCAAGGAGTACATAGACAGTGTAGGACTGAAACCTGAACAAGTGTTTAATTGTGACGAAACAGTCCTCTTTTGGAAGAAAATGCCAAAGAGGACCTACATTACTCAGGAAGAAAAGGCACTGCCAGGACACAAGCCTATGAAAGACAGGCTGACGCTAATGTTCTGTGCTAATGCTAGTGGGGATTTCAAAGTGAAGCCGTTACTAGTGTACCATTCTGAAAATCCCAGAGTGTTCAAGAAAAACAATGTTATGAAGAGTAAATTGTGTGTGTTTTGGAGATCTAATAGTAAGGCATGGGTCACAAGGGACATTTTCGTCGAGTGGTTCAATGAAGTGTTTGGCCCTAGTGTGAAGAATTACCTCCTGGAAAAGAAATTGGATCTCAAGTGCTTCTTAGTAATGGACAATGCACCTGCTCATCCTCCAAATTTGGATGACCTAATTCTGAAGGAGTTTGGGTTCATCACAGTAAAGTTCTTGCCCCCGAATACCACTCCTCTCCTCCAGCCCATGGACCAGCAAGTCATTTCAAACTTTAAAAAACTCTACACCAAAGCAATGTTTCAAAGGTGCTTTAATGTGACTTCAGACACTCACTTGACCCAAAGAGATTTTTGGAAAGAACACTTCAGTATTCTCCATTGCGTAAGCCTTATAGGTAAGGCTTGGGAGGGAGTGACTACCAGGACTTTGAACTCTGCTTGGAGAAAATTGTGGCCAGATTGTGTCCACAAGAGGGATTTTGAAGGGTTTGAGGCAGCCCCTGATGAGCCTATGTCAGTTGTGAAACTCTATTGTCGCACTGGGGAGTTCCATGGGGTTGGATGTGAGTTTAGAGGATGTGGAAGAGTTGGTGGAGGACCACAACGAAGAGCTAACCACTGAGGAGCTGCAAGAGCTTCAGCAGGAAGAGATCGCAGCTCAGAATCTTGCTGCAGAGGAGGAGGGAGAGAGATGGAAGAAGGTGCCTTCTTCAGAAACTAAGGAGATTTTTGAAATGTGGGGTAAGATGGAAAGATTTACGGAGAAACATCACCCTGAGAAGGATGTTGCAAGCCATATCGGCAACTTGTACAGTGACAAAGTCTTGGCCCATTTTAGGGAAGTTTTAAAGAGACACCAGAAACAGAGCTCTCAGGATAGTTTTTTTGCGAGACAGGACTCCAGTGACTCTCAAGGTGGTCCTAGTGTCATTAAGAAACAGAGAAAAGAAGTAACCCCAGAAAAGCAATGGGTACCTGAGGTGTTGATGGAAGGGGATTCCCCTTCCAAACAGTAAATCATCCAATCTGTCTCCTTCTCCAGTCTTCCATACACAAAGAAGAATCGCCAATAAAGATAAGTGTTATTCTGTTAATGTTTAATTCATCATGTGCCATTGTATTGTTTATGTACTACATCTACATTTCATATAAAAAAAATTTTTGTTTTAATACTTCTGGGTGTCAGGAACGGATTAATTGCATTTACATTATTTGTTATGGGGAAAATTGATTCGAAAATCGTCTATTTCGATAACAGTCCCACTTCCAGGAATGGATTATGGACGATTATTGAGGGACCACTGTACACAACACATACAATACTTACCTTATAATATGGTGCCGGTTGCCCTTCTCTTATGCAATTGTTATGCAAAAATGGCAGAAAAGAGGTAAAAGCACTGAACATAAGGAATAATGGCTCCATTGAAAGCCAACGAAAACACCGAAAAGAGGGTGCCGAATAAGTGGGATCCTCCAGTAAATACTTTTTACAATGGTCTTAAAGGCAGAAAGATGTTATGGGCACATAAAGAGTACATTACAAATTATGTATCTTTTTTCCCAGGTTAACCCAACAAAGTCAAACTGTTTGACTTATTTTTCTTTCTAAAGATCTCACATCTTGAATCAATTGTAATCTAAGATTACCATGTGGAACTATGCTGGGCTAAGAATCTTCCCACATTCTGAGCGCTAAAACACCACAAAACACATGTAATACAGTATTATATGAAAACAATGTACATAATATTAGACATTGAAAAGAGAAAGAATTTCTACAAAACTATCATAAACTGGTATGAATAAATGGGGAATCAAACATTTCTGTGAGCATGTTGAAGAGCGATTGTTTTTCATTAACTTCAAATTCTTTAATAAGTACGCTTTCGTCTTATCTTTTTTATTCTACCTAGACAAAAATGACATCCTTAAAATTTTTAAGGTTAGACTTTTTCCAAGTTTTTGCCCTCCCCCCCCACACAGTGTGCACGCACGCACGCACACGCACGCATGCGCACGCACGCACACGCACACACACGCACACACACGCACACACACGCACACACACGCACACACATGCACACACATGCACACACACACACACACACACCACACACACACACACACACACACACACACACACACACACACACAGGGCACTTTTCTTCACAGGTCTCCCACAGCTGAAGATTTCAAGATCCCAGCTGACTGAAACTCCTCAAATAAAACCTACTTACCATATTATAATATAGTAATTATAGCAACAATCAAAATATAATTCAAACCTAATACCTAATATATAGTACCTAATACACAATACCTAATATATAATACCTAATACACAATACCTAATATGCAATACCTAATACACAATACCTAATACACAATACCTAATACACAATACCTAATACACAATACCTAATATATAATACCTAATATATAATACCTAATATATATTACCTAATACTACACAATACCTAATACACAGTACCTAATACACAATACCTAATATATAATACCTAAGACACAATACCTAATATACAATACCTAATATATAA